AGAAATACTGTAAAACCAAATAGATCTGTACCTACGGTAGCACAGAGCTATTTATTAGCCATTGTGTAATAGTGTTTTACATTTATTTACAAGCCATGAGCTCCTGGCCCAGGCGCGCGCGCGTAAGTACACCCTCGCCTCGCTACAATCCCCGCTGCTTGCGTTCACGAGCGTCGTCCGGCGCGCGGACTACGGGATCAATTCTTGTGCCGACCCCTCGTAAAATTTACTACAATAGTTGATCTCCTTTATACAATTTAAAACAAAATTCCCAAATAAAACCTTCAGTACTTCTGTAACAAAGAAGCCGACTATAAAACTTAGTCCATTTAGGGAGACCTGTAACGGTGCTATAAATCTTTAAGTTGGGAGTTCTGATTACGCTAGGCTGCTATGTCCAACGTAAGTTGACTGCCGCTATGGCTCCGCAGCTGTTGTGTGTGTAGGGGGCCCGGCTGTTGCGGAGGTCTAGCTGGTTGGTCGGTGCTCCCATTCAGTGGAGAGGCTCGTTGAACGGTGCGCGGGTGGGAGGGGAGGGGAGGGGAGGGTGTGAGGGCGAAAGTTCTCTACTCGAAGCGTTTTGTTGTCGGAGGGCAGGTCGTCGTGATTAAATTAATGAAATTCTATTTTCTCCGAGGACATTGTTAATTTTATCGTTATTTATGTTTGCACATAAATCCCGTTTAGTTTGTGTGTAATTAAATGCAAGTTGTCCTCGATTATCGTTTTATCTAATTACTGGTTAAATGGGTGATCCTCTCAGTGGGGCGCGGCCGCGGTACTATACATAGGTACTACATATTTATTATGCATTACAAAAAATATTAACGACACGTTCTGTTTAATGCGAACTGTGGTACACATAAATAATAATATACCCATATACATACTTAAGTACATGTTACATATTAAATTAGATTGGTAAATAATACTTCTAAGTTAAGCTATAGTCTCCCTTTGTTTAGTCTACCTTATTATTCAAAAATACAGCCGATGTAATGCTTGAAACACTCAGTAGTTCAGTATTCCTACAAGTAAGTAAGTACACGTAAACCATGAAGAATGAAATCAAATGAAACACAAATCATGCGGAAAATATTTTATATCACGACCTTATGTATACTGCAGTATACAGGGTGTTGGAGAATGAATTTATTTTTATCTTACTTGGGTGCACCGTCAAGCGGAGCGTGGGGTACCGGGGTTGGGGCCGGGCTGCGGATTTCCGAGCCATTGTCCAAAACTGTCGTAACTTAAAAACAATATGGGAGAAAACGAAAGATTATGCCAAATTCCGAGTGATGTGCTGCGATCATACGATGTCGATGTTTCCTAACTTATCGATACAATCATGGCAATGTAGCGCTTCGTTTGAGTAGGCAAGTCGGAATTTGTATCTTTAATTAATTTTCCCTAGTAATGATTCAAGTATTAACGTACCATATAACAATATCAGTGACAATCAGTTAGGTACTGGACATTGTCCACAGGTGGGACGTGGGCGCAGGTGCGTTGAAATGTTTGGGGTTCAAATATTTGCATAATTGGTTATACAACAGCCAACGAATTTAGTTAGCACGCAACGCGACACCCCGCCATTGTTCCTACATTTTATGGGAATGTTGTTTTGTGAATATGGGACATTCCTGAATTGTATTATATTATTCATACACATGTGTGAGTTGTTGAAAATGAAATAAGTAATAAAATGACGACTGTTATTTCTTTCTTCACATCGTGAAGTTGAGGTTTGGACTCGCATGTTCCTGAACGAATGATTTATGTTTTTTACGATAAATGTCATAAAAAAGTATCAAATATCAGTTTGGCAGGCATTGACTGTGTTGTTGTCTCTCTCAGGTTGTGTACTAAGTTTTTATTTATACTCAGTGTCTCAAGAGATGTGACTCTCTATAAGTGTGCCGCTGTGTGGCCCGGGCCCCGGTGCACCTCGTATTCGTATGAGTCGCCGCTCCGCCTACACAAACAAAGGTTTGGCAAAATGTTGACTTTCTTATACTTTTATTCTATACTTTAGCGTGGCATTGCAGAATGATATACTTTAGCATTTTACTTGTTGTATCATACTAATTAGTAAAGACAATGGGAACATCGATGTAAGTACCTATGCTTTGTTTTTTTCCATCTTATATTGCACAAAAGTCCTCTAAATTTTAACAATATTATTCGTCACTACACTATCGATATTCCCACTCGAGGTATCGACAGCCGAACGATCGTGGATGCGCGACTTATCGTGAAGCCAGAGATTATTCGATGGGGCTCGATCCCTGCCTATCTCCGCTCCCAGCCAACAATGAGACGCATTTGTGACGTAAAATTTACGAGCCTCTTTTACGAGTGCAAAATAGGTGGGACCATTTTACGACCCACCCTGTATAATAAGGGAGCGCTACAGTATACGCAAAGTTCACAGATAAAAGTGACACTTTTGTGTTCTATCTGAGTTACGACGCGAGATCTGTGATACAGGATTATCAACAATTGCAGTGCATGTGATCTCAGCAATATTGTACTGCTATAAAATGTGACTTTATATTGTGACGTCACCGAGCCACACCCCCAGCTGTTACATTGTCGAAGCACTACTTGCATACAAAGTCACAAATTCACTTTGTCCTCGTTTGTTTCCGCTTTGTTTGAAGTAGCTGTCAGCCCGAGCTCATTAATAATCACAAGTTAAGTCCGCAACAGAATATAATCGCCTACTTAGCTGTAATCAGTAATCAAATGACACGGTTAACATTCTAAGTAACAAAACTTGTACATAAATATGTGTAATTTTATTTATTTCCTTTGTAAGCATTTTCATTTTAACTGCTGTTCTAGCATATACTGTAAAAAAACTAAATTATAGTAGGCATAGTATAGAAGGCATTCGATAAGAGCAAGTATTACATTGCCGGAGCCGATGGGGGCTCGGCAGTCAGCAGTCGGCAGTCAGGTTATTACGACAATTGTAGCCTGCCAGGGAGCCGCACTCCGCACTCATTCCGGAGCATTCGTTTATTACCGCCATAAGCCAATGACGCGATGAATTTGTATCGCGCGGTCGCCGGCGGATCTCTGACGAGCTCAAGTGGGAGGCAGTTACTATGCAACTTTATTACCCCGATATGTATTCATTTATTAATCTTTCGTACTCGATATGAAGCGCTATCTATTCCGGTTTATTCCATGGAAGTCAATGGAGCAGCTAAGCTACCATAGGAACATAAGCTCTGTAGGGGGCGACTTCTATTCGAATTCGCTACAGTTGTTCATCGGTGGTAAAATATAATAACGTGCAGTCGACGTTTGTTGCATCCCCTAAGCTCGAGCATCAACGTCACATATCAATCACAAATCCAGTTATTTACGACAGCCATAAAACTGTACAAAAAGCTCCTAATGTACATTAGCATTACAGTAACAATGCAGCGGCCGGGATCGAACACAATACCTCTCGGTAATAATATTTAATTATATGGTGTGGCAACAAAGAGTTGTCGACTTGCGTGGCAACACTGGCAACCCCGTGTGTTCCGCTTCGATGCTTTGTGTATACTGTGTGTGCCGTGTACTGTATCTACACTACGCAATGGACACAGTGTATGTACTACATGGATTGCACTACCTTCATACTAACTTTTGTTTCTACTTTGAATAAGTAACAGGTCATTGTGTCCACCGTTCAAACCGTGACAATCCTCAGTTTGTGTAAGCACAATGTTTTATTTCATTTATTTTGACTCTAATTTCCATTGAAGGTCAGTTTAAAAATAGGTATAACAATGTTTCCTAGATTAGTAAACCTAAAGTCTATGAAGATACAACGATTATATTACTACTAGCACTAAAATTCAGTTCCTGTGTTTATACAGACATGTAGGTAGGTGGGTAGGTGGGTACCGTACATTTCTTATTGTTGTTTTTTCTGCACATAACTCAAGAGTAAGTGGTGTGGAGAGATAAGAGCCCACGTTACGGCGTGTCATTAAGTGCTAATATGACTTCATACAAGGCCTCGGTTACTTTGTACTGTAAAGTACAGTTTTATGTGGAGAATAACAATACAATGTTCTGAGATGCACGCAGTCAGACAATGCTTTTGGTTTTAACGAAATTTTCCACATAGTTGTAATTATATTGCCATAATTAGATACGTAAATATTTCTGGAACGAGTGAACGAATAAATTAAAATATACAACTTGTAGCCAGGCCCGCAGCTGCGGTCAGCAGGCGTGTGCTTACAGTTACACGACACGGGGTAATCCACTTATCGACCGACGACACACTATGCCATCAAATTAAAAACTGCACACTTTCTCGTCTGCAAATATTTTACTTATAGAATAAAGGGCGATCATTTTGGCGGAGCCTCTGATCAGTTTTTCGCGAGTAATGAAAACATCAGTTGGTGACATATCGATAGGTGCCCAAGGAAGACGAAATCGCAATGTGCGGTCGATAATAAATAGATAATGCAAAGTTTCGAAAGTGTGTATCACAATCACATGAGCATATGTTTAGATGTATAAGTACATACAAGGCGCATATCGGATTTGTTAGGCGTAGCTCCATGTCGTATGGTATCCTGAATTCAAATTTAAAACAATACGATCGAAGATGATGGTAAATTGTATCAGGTTTAAAACTGCATCAACAGTTTTTGTTCAATCTAGCAATCATATTTCGGTAGGGGCCATCGAAACCTAAACTCTAAGGTGGGCCAATAGATGTGTCCCGAAGTGTATATATATTAGATATCTTTCTACATAATTGGACAATAAAAAACGCCCCGCTTATTCTACCTTCATATGGTGTGGATTTTCAAATGAAAAGAGTTATTGGCCGCAATTATTCCAAGATGGCGGTGCGAGCGGAGCTTGTATGAGATTGCAAAATAGAAATCGGAAAAAGTATAGTCAAAATCCACAAACATATTCGTGAGATGAGTTTTTGGGAATAGTGAAACTACCTACAAGGTAATACATACCGTCAGCGGCGTACCAGAAGGAATGGACTCTCTCCTCAATTTGACGTCGTCGTTCAAAAACTGAAATGCTTCGTATGCAAACCATTTGGACTTGTACGGCACTCGTTGGTCACCTGCAACCACATACATACACCTCTCATACGTAACATATTTATTGCCATCTCTAAACGCCTAATTATATGCATATCACACCACAGTATTAAGGCATTGGCTGCCAATAAAAAACTATTGAAGGCAAATTCTCCGCTAATGTCGGTCACCAGTGACTGCCATGGCGTTTAACGTGTTAAACAAAGTCGCTTTCCGCCGCCTGTTTGTCTGTATGCTAAGATCTTTAAAATTACACAACAGATTTTGATGGCTTTTTTAACTTCGAATTGAACGTGCACAGGCAAAAGTTTTATTATATAATATTATTACCCCTGGTCTCTACTCCCTAGTATGCAACGGACACTACTGACCTGATTTACTGAGGCTTACATTTTCTCGACATTTCTCTCGCCTGTATGTACTTGCCAGACTTTTCAACTTAGACTTTAATATGACCTTGGGTATATCAAAATTCTTTGCTATTTCATTCCATAGTTCTTCACGTAATTTTTTATCATGGAATTCTTTACACGTGCGGTCCCACAGCTCCCAGTAAGAACCGTATATTTGAATCAAACGAATAGCTGTTTTGTAATCCATATTATGCCGCTAAAGCAATCAATATCACTGCGCGGCAAGCAGGCGGTGCGCGGCGGGCCACGCTCGCTCGGGACTGACAAGTACTGACAACACTACGCGGCCAGTGAGTGCGCGGCGCGCGGCGTGACGCGCGCCGCGTCACGCCGCGCGAATAATGAAGAAGAAGGAAGTGAAAGAGAAGGAATTGCCACTACACCATCCACATCTTGGGTGGGCGAGAAGTTGGGTTGGATATAGCGGATAACCTTGGTTGACTGTATAACTTGAAATATTTTATATCTATGGTTTACTGTATTTGTCAAGGATTGGCTACGAAATATAATTAAAGATCTAATAATTATCGCATTTCAGTTACATAACTATCTTTTTCCAATGTAATCAGTTATATTGTTCGTAAGTCGTGTAGGGCTTCACATCACTCCACCGTGCGCTGTGTCTCACCCGGATCAGACTGCACCCACCGGCTTCCCTGCATTTATGCATTTTGCGCATTTTAATGCTATGCTTCCTAATTATATGTAGGTATAGACAACGTCATGTAAACCCATTTAGCTGTCTAATAAGTCTTCTTCCAGTTCAAACTAACAAGTAACTAGATTGAGTTGTATTGTAGTCGTGAGTCGTGTCGTGACTGAGGACATGTCAAACCACTAAAACTTGCTAATTTTATAATTCTTGTATAAGTGGTATAATATTTATCCCAATCAGAACTGCTAATGTAAAATATTGTAAAGTTGTAATTAAATAATATTTTACGAATCAAAGTTATAAACAGTTAAAAGTTTTCAGTCTACCTCCAAAAGCAACTTGGAGAGATGTGGTTACGTAAGCTGAATAGAGTTTTCTGTGTGAGCTCTGACTAAACTAGAAATAATTTTACAGTTAACAACTTCGCAGCTAACCTTGAAATACAGCAAAAAATTAACAAATAGAAAGAGAGGACATTTCTATCGCTAGGCTGCTCACGCTTCAGGTTCCATGGGTTGGTAACAACAATTTTTTCTTCAAACTAGATTGAATAACAACTTTTTGTCGGCCATTACTGTCGCTAAGTGAACATGGCGGAACCGTGGGGGAAGGAGGGAGGTGCGTGTGCGCAGCATCGCGAACTATTGATTCAAGCCTTTAGCGCACTGTTACGATGCAGAGGTTTAGTTTTGACAGCGTTCTGTTAAACTAAGTGTTTGTAACATGTGCCACCGGGCTGTGACGTCAGCTTCTTAGCGACTACTTATTATTACACATTTAATCACACCACAAAAACTGTGATGTAGTTAAGGCTCTGCGAATGACGAGCGACCACTGAGGACGTGCGGGTGACTGGAGATTTACATACATGTAATTAATAGTCACATTTTGTTAGTTCGCTTCGATAACAGTCGGGGATCCTTTGTCACCATGTAACCGCAGTGTCCATGAGATCATCACAAGTAGACAGCTGTGATTTTCTGAAGATTTTCCTCTTTACCTCAGCTAAGGCCGCCATCTTTATGAAATTGTAAGTATTTTGTCTGTATAATTGCTCCGTGGTTCCTGATAGATGGTATTGTTTAAAGTCAAGGAAACCATTAAATGTATTCGGAACTTCTAAAACCATAATCACAAGGAGCTTCAGTTTTACTGCTTTGGATTATACTTTGTCATTATATTCAGTCACTGGCTACTTCAGCGCGGTTTCACCCGCTCTGCTTGGATCCTATTGAACGTAGTATGACATTTTATAGCCAATTAGCCTTCCAAATGGACTATTCAACACAAAAAGAGTTTTATATTAGATTGTTTTTCAAACCTAAAACCTACTAAAAGTACCCTACTAAGGTTTACCAACTTCTGAGCTGGAGTCAACTACTATCTTCGCCGAGAACCTAACGGGTAACCGGGGCTCCGGCTCGACGTGCAGGAGAAGGAACGGGGTGGTTTTCAGTCAGTAAGTCTGACACTCCCTCCCGCCTCACCCAGGCGGGAGCAGTCATTCGATGATTTTCCCCCCTTAAACAAAAAAATTGGTTATTACATATTTATTCTGGATAAAATCTGCTATACCTACCTGAAAAAGGTTTTTTTGTTTAAGTAAGAATGGTTTGATCGTGGACATACCTACTAGTAGATATTACCAATACCAACTGTAGTATTGTTCATGGCTATATTTATAATCTCCGAAGGCCTTAGTTTTATTATTACCCTTGAGCTCACAAACCTATATTATTACTATTAGTAAGTTTTTGCTCCCATAGTGAACCACTCTGTACCCAGCACTTATGTAACTACTCACGTAATAGGTTCATTACATTTTTTATCTTTGAAGAGTGACCTTAACTTTGAAACTTATTACAATTTAATTGGTACACTCATAAATGAGTTAATAAGACAAACGTGAGTAATCCATTGCTAGGAAAATATTAATTCACCACGAAAGGATTACTAATACAAAAGTTACATATTTTGTACGCATTTTTATTGTTTTGTACAATAAAGATTAAAAACACAAATATAATGTCGTGCATCCACTACAGGTAATATATCAGAGTGCGACATTTACCGTTTATGTCGAAGTGTGAATTACTTATTTAGCAAATTCAGTGTCAACATTCAACATTGCAATTCTGGGAATCCTACCAGTTTGTACGAATTATCACATCATTGATAATGTATCTAATTGGTGTATTTATGTTTGTGTCAAATGTATATCGGTGGCTAGATTGAGTATCAGTAGCGAGGTGGTATCTTGTGCTAATTGTAACATACGATCGCAGATCGGTTAGTCACCAGTACGCCATATTTTGGCACACTAGGATTTTCTGTGCTATGTTAGGCAGAATTGATATACTCTGTAGATCAAACAAAGAATTACTCTGTGTTGCAATCGAGTTCGTTACATGTTTCGTGGTAGCCAGTTGTCAAGCCAGTATGCCAACGGTGCAGTCAATATTTTTTTATATGGTATACAGGTATGCTTCAGAGTGGTTTGATCCCTAGGGCAGACTAGGAAAGTTCCTAGCACAACATAGACACTTGTCTAGGGCGCCAAGTTACCGAGGGACAGCGAGAAACACGCGTGCCCAATTGTTGCTGCGGTACCAAAAGAAATTAGTCACACCTTTAAGCTGCTCTCATATTACTAACTAAATGATTGTAGACATGTATTATACAAAAGTAGTGTGGATTGGTGATAGCGAGCTTATGTACCGTGGGACGCCGAGGTTAAGGTTGTTGCTGGCTGAAACTCCGACATGAGAGACCTTGGAGGAAATTAGAAAATCGAGGGAAAACTGACGCAACGTTTTCAACACATTTCTATTCATTACCTATTGTTATTTCTCCCTGAAGAGTCATTAACAAAACACCGACTTTAATATAAGCAGTACCTACTTTAATATAACTTTAATTTTATGACCCGTTCCTTTCTAATTTTACGTTAAGTTTTGAACAGTACTAAGTCCAAACCCTATAAAGTATAAATATTAACCCTTCCTTTAGGACAAAATGTATAATTGTGAACAAACAATATTGCTTGTAGTGGGAGTCGGAACCTCAAAGCGTAACACAAGTAGCGCTCAGTGACTCAGCTCCCACGCAACCGTCACTCAGTCTAACACAAGTTTTTGCATGGAAACAACGCGAGGTTTCTAAGAATCGCTTCAACTTGCCGCATGTTAGCAACACTTTTATAATATAATGAATATAATCTATATCTATACTAATATAAAGCTGAATAGTTTGGTCGTTTATTGGAGCGCAATATCTCCGGGACTGCTAATTTGAATGGAATAATTCTTGTTGTATTGAATAGTTCATTTATCTAGTTAGGCTATGGGTTATAAAAAAGTACTCTTCGATGAATAGGAACCGAGCAACAGCGGGTGTAACCGCGCGAGCTCAGCCAGTTAGCGCTATGTGACTAACTTCTGAAGGGCATATAATAACAACTGTAGACCATGTATTATTATAATATCTTTATTACACATTTATTGCCTATCGTTTAATTTTATCGAGGTTTATATTCGTTTCAGGAAATGTTGATTGATTCATGTTTTATTGTATAGATTAGATTTTTATGCAAAATAATATTTTCTCAGTACTCAAGGACAAGGACACATCCAGGTTTTGAAACAGAAACTCCATTATCTTGATGGATGGACGAGCTGATGGTACCGTCAGTGATGTTGTCGGGATTGCGAATGACATTGGTAAAGTCACATTGGCACCTGACTGCCAGTGACTGCACCAACACATGCAACAAGGTAGTTAAGGCGCTCGCAGCAAAAAATGAACTAAATTAACTCTTTGTTCAATATCACCCAACTGCAGGTTTTGTTGCAAACAATTATGGTAAGTTTCCACGTTACCCGACTTTGAAATAAAATGAGTCATGTTAACTGCAATTATATTTGCTGCATGCAATAATTTCCGTTATTCTAGGAATGCAGGTGTGATGTGCAAGTGACCTTGGAAATATTCTGAAGGTTATAATAATAATTGAAAAGGAAAAATTCCATTTAAGTAATAGCATGTTGTTTCTATTCGCCGTAACCACGCCGCGCTGTAAGAACTCGTAACACTCATTTACTATTTCGTCACAGATATTTCAAGCCTGGCCAGTTAAGGAAAATGTTTTTTTTTCCAAAAGAAAGGAGATGGGAGTAAACCGATGTCTGGCTAGTGATAGTGTAAATAGTGTGTGTATATTTACACAGAGCCGTATCTTCCTAAGCCAAACTAGACAAATGCTTGGCGACTGGGGTTTTCCCAGTTCTGCAGTCTCTTTTCGTGCCTTTAGGCTTAATTCATTCTGTTCCCTGCATTAATGTGAAACTATCGTTTTTTTCTTCTTTGCGGAAACCAAGACAGTTACTCAATTCAGTTTCGGTGTTTTCATGGTTGTATCTACTGTAGACCCTGGCTTACAGGAGTTGCAGCTGTGTCGGGAGGTTGTGGCGGCTTGTCACAATTAAAAAAAGTGTTTAGGACGCCAGACTGCAGCGTGCCCAAAAACAAAAATTAAGGATTGTTTGGTAATATAGTTTATACAACAGTGACAAGCGCTTTACCTTAGCAGGT